ACAGGCACAAAGCAATGGGTTCCATCCCTGGTCCACAAGGGCCCCGGCACTGTCCAGGGTGCATCCCTGGGGGCCCACCCCCACCCCCAGCGGTACTTACTGATCACCAGCCCACACGCTGGGCCCTCAGGCCTACACAGTCTGGCCAAGGAGCTCCAAGGATAGGCTCTGGACCCCCTAAGTACCACTTAGGAGGGTCGCCCTTCAACCACCCCCCTCCAAAAAACTGCATGAATAGCTCTTCATCAAGAGTCCAGAAATGTATATCCTCCTTCTCCTTGACATATTTCTATTCCATTTCGCCACACGTTTTAGCCTCAAGGAGTACATTTCTTTTTTTTTTTTCTTTCATGAAGTAAAACAGATTTTATTTGGAGGTTTTTAGGAAGGGGGAAGAGGGAGTGAAGTGAGAGAGAGTAACGTGCTCAAGAGAGAACACGGGCTTCTCCAAAGGCAGGGAGAACCCCAACACACATCCCAGCATTAAATATGGAAGCATGAAAGTCCACATCTCAAGAGGAAAGATGTGGGCATCACATGTGCTCAGGCATCACCTGTGCTCAGCTACACGGGCACAAGTAGCACCACATGGGCTCGGGCAGCACATGTACCTCAAGGAGTTTATTTCTTTTTTTTTTTCTTTTTGAGTCACACCCAGCAATGCACAGGGGTTACTCCTGACTCATGCACTCAGGAATTACTCCTGGCGGTGCTTGGGGGGCCACAGGGGACGCTGGAGATCCACCTCAGGATGGCCGAGTGCAAGGCAAACGCCCTCCCCCTGTACTATTGCTCCAGTCCCAAGGAGTTTATTTCTAACTAGCAAGTCCGCTATTGATTCACCAGCACCCCTCTGCCACAAAAGCACCAACATTTCCACCTATTTCTTTTTAACTCCCCGTGAGTCTCGAGTTCAAACTGACTGAATAAAAATCTCCCTAGATGGGGTGAGCACAACACCTATTTGTGACGAAGCAAAGACCGCCAACAGGAAAAATTAAGCACACGGCTGTGTCCTTCTGGGGCTAAGTGATCGGCGTCGTGAGGAAATTAAGAGCAACTTGATTTTGATGTTTTCGTGTCTTCTTCAAGGTAAGCAAGAGAAAAGGCGCTCGCGCGAAGAAGGCGTGAGGATGAATGAGTATTTCCTCATTACCATCCCTTGGATCTGAGAACTCTGCGAGTCCCAGAGCGGCCGTGTGAGTCTGTCCACAGTGCAGGCAGACCCAGCCTCTGACCAATCTCTACACAACAAACCATGAGGAGAAACCCTCACCCTCCAGCCACACCCCAACACGGCTAGACCCCTCCTATTAGCACATGGAGTCTGCACCCCCACAGAGATGGGCTGGAACGTGCCTTTCTTTTGGAAAGTGGGAGCAGAGAACGGGGGCCAGGGAAACGCGTCAGAGTGAGCCAGCTGCCAGGGCCCCCACAGGCAGGACTATTTGGGAAAAGAAAACCAACAAGGAAGCTGAGGAACTGCAAACAGGTTTTTGGGTCCACACTCCGGCCCTGTGTCCCCTGCTGGAAAATCTGCAAGCAAAGGGCCCAGTCCGAGGATGCTGACTTAAAGCAGCCAGGCAGGAGGTGGCCCACGGCCCAGATCACAGGACTGGAATGAAGAATAAGACAAGCCACTGGTGGGGCTAGAGCAATAGTACAGCGGGTAGGGCATTTGACTTGCACGTGGCTGACCCGGGTTCGATTCCCAGCATCCCATAGGGTCCCCGGAGCACTGACAGGAGTTAATTCCTGAGTGCAGAGCCAGGAGTAACCCCTGAGCATCACCAGGTTGTGACCCAAAGAGCAAAAAAAAAAAAAAAAAAAAAAAAAAAAACAATCCACCAGAGTTTATGGACCTAGAGGAAAGCGGGTACAAGCACAGTGGGGTACAAACATCTCTGTGACGCACGTATGGGCACACATATGGGCCTGACTCTCATCCCCAACATGCAGCGGGGCCCGACCCCCGGGTACAGGTCAAATAGTGCCTCAATTCTGATTCAACAGACAAAACAACCCCATTTCTGTTCCTAGCGACTAGAGAGAGGGAAGATGGGAACAGGAAAGAGGAAAAGAGACTTAAAAAGGACCCACAGATTTGAGCGGAAACCCTGGTTTGAACAAGACACTTCTCACAGGTACCCTGGGAAAGGAAGAAGGGACTTTTAAAAGGGATGGGGGCATGGCACAGGAGGATGACTCAAACCCCATCCGTGGCCACATGTGCACCCTAGAGGCATTCTGCTGGAGAGGTGCGTCGAATTTACAGGTGAAAAACTGTGGGACGGGCTAGAGCGATAGCACAGCAGGTAGGGCGTTTGCCTTGCATAAGGTCAACCCAGATTCGATCCCCAGAATCCCATATAGTCCCCTAGCACCACCAGGAGGGATTCCTGAGTATAGAGCCAGGAGTAACCCCTGAGCATCGCTGGGCGTGACCCAAAAAAGAAAAAAAACTCTGGGACATCTCTGCCTAACAAAATATTCCAAGCTCCTGAGAAAGCTGTGGGCAGGCAGAAGGACTCGAAGAAACTGAACATCAATGCCAGCGAGGGTCCCTGGAGGGCTTCCAGGGGGTTCGGTCGGCTTTTCAGATGCCCCCAAATGTCCAGGGGCCAGAGAGACAGTCAGGGGGTAATAAAGCACGGTTGGTTTTGCAGGCAGCCACCCAGGTTCAATTCCCCAGCACTGCACGCAGTCCCCAAGTCATACCAGGACAGAGCCAGGAGAAAGCCCCGAGCACTGCCCGGGGGTGGTGCCCAAAACCAAACAAAAAGTCTACAACCAAGGTCTTTAAAAGCAAGGAGGTATTGCCATTTTGACAATATTAATTCTTGGCAATACTTCCCAAAGCACTGTATAAATTCAACGCAATCCCTATAAGGATACCCATGACATTCTTCAAAGAAATGGAGCAAACACTCCTGAAATTTATATGGAACAATAAGCCCCCACAAATAGCTAAAACAATTCTCAGGAAAAAGAAAATGGGAGGAATCAACCTTCCTAACTTCAAACTCTACTACAAAGCAGTAAGAATTAAAACAGCATGGTACTGGAACAAAGGCAGAGCTGTAGACCAATAGAACAGGGTTGAATATACTGACATCTCCCCCCAAGCATATGACCATCTAATCTTCGATTAGGGGGCAAGAAAAGTGAAGTGGAGCAAGGAAAGCCTCTTTAACAAATTGTGCTGGCAAAACTGGACGGCTACGTGCAAAAAAGTGGGCTCAGATCTCTGCCTAACTCCATGTATAAAAGTAAGATCAAAGTGGATTAAAGACCGCAACGTCAGACCGGAATCCATAAGGTACGTTGAGGAAAAAGTTGGCAAAACCCTCCATGACATAGAAGCTAATGGTATCTTCAAAGATGTCACGCCACTAGCCAAGCAAGTGAAAACACAGATAGACAAATGAGACTATCTTAAACTAAGAAGCTTCTGCACCTCAAAAGAAACAGTGACCAAAATACAAAGACAGTCTACAGAATAGGAAAGGATATTCGCCAAATACACATCCGATAAAGGATTGATATCAAGGATATACAAAGTACTGGTTGAACTCCACAAAAAGAAAACATCCAACCCCATCAAAAAATGGGGAGATGAAATGAATAGAAACTTTCACAAAGAAGAAATCCGAATGGCTAAAAGGCACATGAGAAAATGCTCCACATCATTAATCATCAGAGAGATTCAGATCAAAACCACAATGAGATATCATTTCACACCACAGAGACTGGCCCACATTCAGAAGAACAAAAGCAACTGGTGCTGGCGCAGATGTGGCAAGAAAGGAACCCTCCTTCACTGCTGGTGGGAATGCCGACTGGTTCAGCCCTTTTGGAAAACAGTATGGACGATTCTCCAAAAATTAGAAATTGAGCTCCCATTTGACCCAGCAGTACCACTCCTGGGAATATATCCCAGAGAGGCAAAAAAGTATAGTCGAAGTGACAACTGCAATTGTTTGTTCATTGCAGCACTTTTTACAATAGCCAGAATCTGGAAAAAACCTGAGTGGCCGAGAACAGATGACTGATTAAAGAAACTTTGGTACATTTACACAATGGAGTACTATGTAGCTGTTAGAAAGGACCAAGTCATGAAATTTACATACAAGTGGTACTACATGAAAAATATCATGTTAAGCAAAATGACTCAGAAAGAAAGGGATAGACATAGAAAGACTGCATTCATCTGGGAAACATAAAGTAACAAAATAGGAGACTAACACCCAAGAATGGTCGAGATTAGTACCAGGAATTTTACTCCATGGCTTGGAGGCCAGCCACACATGCTAGGGGAAAAGGCAGCTCAGATAGAGAAGGGAGCACTAAATAAAGAATGTTGGGAGGATCCTCCCAGGATAGGAGAAGCATGCTGAAAGTAGACTACAGACCAAATGTGATTGTCACCCATTGCCTCTTTTGCAAATCACAACACCCAATAAGAGAGAGAGAACCAAAGGGAATGTGGCAGGGTGGGATGGAGGGGATGGGGGGTGGGAGGGATACTGGGATCTGTGGTGGCGGGAAATGGGCACTGGTGGAGGGATGGGTATTTGATCATTGTATAACTGAAACCCAAGCACAAAAATTTGTTAAGTCTACAACTGTACCTCATGATGTCTCACTAATAAAAATTTTTTAAAATAAAATAAAAATAAATAAATAAATAAAAGCAAGGAGGGAAGGAGATTCGATTTCACAAAAGCTCCTGAATGTGTTCGGGGAGGCTCTACAGGACCGTGGCTCAGTATCATCTCATTTTAGGAGTCCCCGAGTGCGGCCCACGAGGCTGCTTCCGTGTCTAAAGAGCCACCAGGGCACGAATGTGCTGGAAAACAAACAGAGCTTGTGCCAGGAGGGAGCGGGCCACGCCAGGGGAACACAGAGCACCCGGTCCCGGAAATGCCCCCCACAGAGCTGCCCAGAGAAACTCACATCCATTTGGCCACGGCCCAGAAGTGCACTCACACGATACTCACCCCTGCAGCAAAGCCCAGGCTCCCGTCTAAGATCCGCCTCTGAAAAGGAAAACAAGATGTTTCAGGCTCTAAGGGAGGCCTCCTGGGGCAAAGGAGGGACGAGAGGGCCGAGGGAACTCACTTGTGGACTATAAAGTAACCGAACGGGAGACGAACACCCAAAGATAGTAGGGATAAGGGCCAGGAGGATCGCTCCACGGCTTGGAAGCCGGCCTCAACACGCTGGGGGGAAAAGGCAGCTGGGGTGGAGAAGGGACCACTAAGTAAAAGATGATTGGAGGGCTCGCTAGGGATGGGAGACGTGTGCTGAAAGTAGGCTATGGACCAAACAGGACGGCTGCTTTGTACCTGTATTGCAAACCACAACACCCATGGGGGCGGGGGGGGGGGGGGGGGGGGAAGGTGCCTGCCACAGAGACAGGGAGGGAATGGGGTGGCAGTGGTGGGAGGGATACTGGGGACATTGGTGGTGGAGAATGGGCACCAGTGGAGGGATGGGTGCTGGATCACTGTATGACTGAAAGTAAACGTAATCGTGAAAGTCTGTACATCTGTAACTATGTCATGGTGATTCATTAAAAAGGGAAAAAAAAAGAGGATCGCAGGAAGGCAGCCCGGGCTGGGGACAAACGCTGCAGGCAAGTGGTGAGTGGGCTCCTGAAATGGGAACCGTCAGCAGAAAACCCTCTGCACAACCTTCCAGCCCTCCCTGTCCCCCAGCCAGCACTGTTCTTCTGGACGGGCTCTGGTTCAGCTCTCCCTGGGAATTAGAAGCTTTCTAGAAGTTTCTGGAGAGATCCGACAAGGGAAAGGCATTTGCTGTACATGTGGCTGACCCCGGTTTAATCCCTGGTACCACCACACAACCCCTGAACTGCAACAGCCTGACCCAATCCACAACCCCTGACCAAAAAAAAAAAAAAAACACTTTTCTGGAAGGTTCTGGGAACACTTTCAATGGGAGTGGACCGGGGGGTTAGCATGACCTATTGGTCATGCTGGAAGAGGCCCCTGATGTGGACAGTTAGGGCCTATAGGTCCCCCCACACCCAACCGCGCCCCTCCACCCCCTGCTCTCCCCCAGAACACTCACCTGTCCGCTGGAGAAGATGAAGACCAGCGCGGCGCCTGCCGCTGTCATGGCCCAGGTGAAGAAGGTGCCAAGCAGCGCCTGTGACACGGGGCTGATACCTGCCAGCATGCTGGGTCCGGCTGCGTGAGGAGCGAGGGGTCAGGGGGTCAGGGTGGGCCACACGCGCTCCCCAACTCCCACGCTGCCCCCCAGGGCCCCCCTCACTGGGGAATGGCCCATGTGACCCCACACACGGCCCAGACTTCTTCCTCCACTTTATCGGCTCATCAGTGACCTCTGAGAAGGGTCGGGGATCAAGACAGCCTCCCAGGGGAGGCCCCCTGAGAGCGGGCCACCTGGCAGAATCCTTCCAGAAGCTCCTAGAACGCGGGTGACTGAGCCCAGAGGAAGGGAGCCCCAGGCACGGCCCTGACCTGTCTGTCCCCCGCAGCCCAGGGAGTAGGTCTGCTGCCCCCTGCCTGGGTTGTGAGGGTCTCAGGTCCACATTCTCCTCCACCTGCCCTTGCCCCATCCACAATACCCCCAAAATGCAAATACCTCGGCTCCTTTTTTGGAGGGGAGGGGGCCTACACCCCACCCTGTGGTGCTCAGGGGTTACTAACTCCTGGCTCTACACTCAGGAATCACTTCTGGCAATGCTCAAGGGACCAGCTAAGATGCTGGGGATCGAACCCGGGCCTCCTGCATGCAAGGTAAATGCCTCACCCGCCATGCTCTCTCTCCGGCCCCCCTCAGCTCCTCCCTTAAGGGCATCCTCCTAAATCCAAACCTTTACCCCACAACCCAGTTCCTCACCCAGCACCCCCATCCCCCACCATCTTTTTTGTTTTGTTTTGTTTTTTGGGTCACACCCGGCGATGCTCAGGGGTTCCTCCTGGCTCTGCACTCAGGAATCACTCCTGGCGGTGCTCAGGGGACCATATGGGATGCTGGGAATCGAACCCGGGTCAGCCACGTGCAAGGCAAACGCCCTCCCCGCTGTGCTATTGCTCCAGCCACCCCCCCCCCCCAGCCCTTCCCCCCCACCATCTTAACTCTGCACCTCCATCACTTCCACCTGTGTGGGCCCAGGGGCCACCAGCTGACAGGATTCTCCATCGTGGCCCCTGAGGCCAGCCTGGGGGTCCCGGTCCCTGCACACCACCCCCTCTGCCTTCCCCAGATGAAGCCCACCCCCCAGAGCAGGCCCCCCACACCCAGCTCCTCTGGGAGGGCAGTGCCTGGAGAAGCTTCCTCCATACCTGGCACCCCCATAAAAGAGGACTTTTCCTGGCACCCCAAAAATACCTGCTGGATGGCTCAGGGCCGGCTTCCCTCGCTGGGACCCTCACCCGGGGCAGGGAAACTGACCCCAGGGCAGCATTTCCTGCCCCTTCCACTCCAGGAGCTGCAGAGGGAGCTTTTGGGGGTATCTGGGGCCCTCTCTGGAGGGGGCGTGGCTGCCCCTCTGGCCTTTGCCAAGAGCCCTCCTCCAGGCACTCTCCACCTCAGTTCCGGGCCTGGAAGGGCAGGCAGCCTCTGCCTCCTGCTGTGGAAAGTTACAACCCACATGCCGGGAGCCTGGCAAACCCCAGACTCGGCTCAAAGGCCTCATTCAGCTGCTGAATCCAAACCTTCCACCCGCCGCCCCGCCAGGCCCACCGCCCCACAAAGCGCTGGCCAGGACATGGGGCCCCCCGGCAGGTTGGCAGATAAAGCCATTTCCTTCCTCTGTGGCCCCAGGAAGGAAACTGGCAGAGGGCGAGGCCAAGGATAGGGGACCCAACCTGAGTCAGGCAGGAAACCCCAGGGCAACCCGGGACATCCCAGGTAACACCCCAGCACCATGAAATCATAGGCTCCAGGAAGCAGCACCCCTGGGTCCACATGGCACTCCCACGGGCCGGAGAGATTGTACAGCCTGTAGGGCGTTTGCCCAGTACACGGCTGACCGGGTTCAATCCCGGCATCCTAGAGGGTCCCCCAAGCACCGCCAGGAGTGATTCCTAAGTGCTGAGACAGGAGTAACCCCTGAGCATCACCGGGTGTGACCCTGAACCAAAAATACAACCACAAGAGATGGCATCCCCACCGGGGTGTACAGGTGCTGACAGTTGACAACAGACCCCCTAATTCTGGCTTACATCCGGTGTATCCTATTAAGTCGCCCTAAAAAGAGGGGTTCATGGGCCAGACCAAAGTCTAATACAGTGGGTAAGGCGCTTGCCATGCACAGGGTTGACCTAGGTTCGACCCCTAGTACCACATACGGTCCCTAAGAGAAGGATTAAGAGTATCTTTGCACCATTGGGTATGGTCAACCGGAAGCTCATGTTTGAGCTTAAGCTGAGCCCTCTGGACCTTTTCACCCACTGTCTGTCTCCAACTGATGGACAAGAACTTCAGAACACCCTGTCCCAGCCCAGGCCTCACTGTCCCCCTGATGAGCACCCGAGACAGGCCTGAGCCACCACCACAAAAACTCCAGGGCTGAGTGTCCTGGGACAGGCTGCAGGGGAGGGGCGTGGTGGAGTCTGTGGGCTGAGGAGCAGAAGGGGGCCGGCGGGTAGCCCTGGGGGTCAGAGGGAGAAAAATGGGTTCTTCTAACCCTTCTGCCACCTGTGCCACCTGGGACATAGGACCAGGGAACACAGGACCTCTGTCCCTGCGAGAAGTCGCTTCCCTCTGCATCACTAGGTTCTCAACCAAGATGGTCAGTGGCTCCTGCTGGGGGTGGGGGGGGGAGCGGAGAGGGGGGACAGGGCACTAGGCACTGGTGAGAAGTGCACCATCTCGGGCCTGCTGAGTCCAAATGTGCATCGAGTGGGGTGCCAGGGGGAGGGGTGGGGTGAGCATTCCGGATGAGAAGGCCCCGGGCTGGGGCCCCTTTCTGAGGGAGCACTTCTGGCTGAGTCAAGACAACTTGGGAGTTTGCTTCCTCCTGACCTCCAAGTTAGCCCAGGGACACTAGGGAAACAGGGAGTGCCCGGGTCAACCTGCAATGGGCCCAGCTTCCTGGTGAGCAGAGTCCCGTGCCCCACCTCCAAGGAGTTGGCAGGGCCACTGCCCACTCCAGGAGGATGGGGGGGGGGGGCGGGGTGCAACTGGCCAGGCCCCCTGCAGCTCGGACCCCAACCCGGCCAGCCGGCCCTGCTCTCCCCTTTGAAACCTGCAGCCTGGCACTTTGGGGGGGGGGGGAGGGGGGATGTGCACAGGGTCCCCGGGCAGCCGGGGGATGCCCCCTTCCACCCCGCAACGGAACCCTCAGGTCCCAAGTGGGCGCAGGGACCACGCCTCTGGGGCTGGGGCTGCACCCACACTCTCAAAGCCCCGGTGCCTCAAAGTGGGGTCGGCATGGGAGACCCCGAGCTGGACCGCCAATGCCTGTGTGCGGCCAGTGGCGCCAGCCCCCCCACTCCCAGCCCAAGTCCAGAGGCGCCCCCCAACCCCAGCGCGCCCGGGAGGGTTGGGGGGGCTGCAAACAGCTGGCACTGGAGTGACCGGGCCTCCCGGGGGGCCCCCTCTCTGCCCCCAAAAGCGCTGGACAGCCAGAGAGGGGGGCTCCGCGGCCAACCCCCAGCTCGCCCTGGAGGAGGGCAGGGGTCCGGCGGGGTGCAGGAGGGGCTCTGCCGCCTGCCCACGCCGCCCCGGCTCCCCGGGCCCCTCGGCCCGCCCCTGCCCCGCGCGCGGCCCGCCGGGAGAGCCCACTCACTGGGGGGCCCGCCGCAGCCCCCGTCCACGCCAGCGGCCCGCGCCGGCTCCGGGAAGCCACTTCCTGCTTCCCGCGCACACGTGGCCCCGCGCGCCCGGCCCCGCCCCGCGCGCGTCGATCCTCGGGTTCACGGCCCAGGCGCCGCTGGGGCGGGCGTGCGGGCGGGCGTGCTGGTGTGCGGGCGGGCGCCCTCGCCCCAGCCCCTGCTCCCCGCTGCGCAGAGCTTCCCTCCCCCCCCCAAGGATTTCCCCCCGCCCCCACACACACACACACACACAGACACAGGCGCCCAGGGCCGCGGGTTCTGGTCGGGGACCAGGAGTTGCATCTTTGCCTCTGGGTCCCCGTTTCCAGGATCTCATCAGCCCTAAGCAGTGGACAGTGGCCTCCAGGCCGTCTAGAGAAAGATTGGGTAGAAAAAAAGCCTGCGCGGGGGTCCTCCCCCAACACCCGAGCACACACACCCCCACCCCAGAAGCAAAGGGAAAAGTGGGGCAGGGTGCTTGGAGTCAGGAAAAACCAGACACATACATGTATATACACACATGCATGTGCACATAAACACATACGGGATGCTAGACAAGCAGAAATATACACATAGTTCAGGTATGCACAGATATGCTCACACACACATACACGATTGCACGCACATGTACAAATATCACACACAGAGACACACGTACACATGGGTGTGTACATATATATATATGCATGCACACATACGCCCATACATACTCAAACATGTACGCACCTAGACACTTGCACACAAACATACTCATACACTTATCTACAAATACATGCAGCACACTCATACACGCACGTACAAGAATGCTCACAGCATATACATCTGGACATGTTACAGACAAGCATGAATACAGACATAAACGCACACTCACCTGTTTATAGACGTGCACTTACATAGACACACATCCATATGTGGACACTCACACGCCTACATGCACATACACACACAGCTCCAGCTCAAGATGGAATGCTGCGGCTTCACCTGCTTTCGAATGAGAGCGCAATATCGTGGGTCCTCGTTCATAGGCCTAACCAGCAGCTGCTGAAGCTGGTGGTAGACACGGGGTGTGTGTGGGGTCTCCTGTTCGCTCTGAGGCAGGCGTTACTGACCATGCACAAATGGCCCCCAGGCCCTCACCTGGGCCCCACGTGCCCTGCTGTGGTCAGGACTCTGCCCACCACAGCTTAATCAGGCAGGGTGGGCACCACCTCCAAGGGCACCTTCCTGAACCACGCATGGCACCTCACTGCCTGCTCCAGAGCCCTACGTGGCCCCCAGTGCTCCAGGCTCCCTCTCGAAGGCTCGGCCTGGCCTGCCCCTTTCCTCCATCTCATTCCAGCTGACCTCGTCCAAACAGCAGGGGTTTGTCCACGCAGACCCGCACCCCCTTCATCTTCCTGGTCCCCCATTGCATTCACCACCTGCAGTCCAGCCTCCAACGCACAGCCGATGCCGTGAGCAAACGTATCTGGGCCTGCACTGCCCTCGGGGCCCCTCGCCACTCTGGAGGTACAGGCCCAGGCCCCGCTACCCACCCCCATCCCACCAGACTGCAGCCAAACCTGTTGGCTTCTCCTGGAACCCCAAGCTTGCTCCAGTAGTGCCTCAGAACACCCATTTCCCATCTCAACTGGCCTGGAGTCAGTCTGTCACCCTGGAGCTCACCTGGCTGCAATCAAACTGCCCTTCCCGGGGGGTGGTGGTAGAGGGACCTTCCCAGAACCCCCTTCTAAGGCAACCCCCTCAAAAAAGAACATTTTCTCCATGGCCCTCCATCCCCCTGCCCCAAGGAAACATTTGGAACCCCAGAAACTTTGGGAAGAAACGGAACTTGTGAGATAATACTGTGGGTAGGGCGCTGGCCTTGCACATGGCCAAGAACCATATCAGTGGTCTCCTACGCACCTCTAGGAGTGATGCCTGAGTGCAGAGTTGAGTCGGCCTGGGCCTCCGTGTCCCCGGACTTGGGCGGAAGAGCCTCGGTCCATTGCTCGGACACACCACAGCAGCGCTAGCCAGGCTTTGCCTTGTGCGCCTCCCCAAGAGAGAGTTCCAAGAAAAGTACAACCTATGCAGCTGTTAGGAGAGATGAAGTCATGAGATTTGCTTATAAATGGACAGACATGGAGAGTGTCATGCTAAGTGAAATGAGTCAGAAAGAGAGGGACAGACATAGATGGACTGCACTCATTTGCGGAGTATAAAACAACATGACATGAGGCTGACACCTAAGGATAGTGGATACTCGGGACAGGAAGATTGCTCCATAGCTGGAAGCCTGCCTCATGAGCAAAGGGGAGAAGGCAGCTGGAATAGAGAAGGGATCACTAAGAAAATGGTGGCTTGAGGAACCAGTCGAGAGGGGGACGTGTGCAGAAAGTAGATAAAGGACCAGAAGTGATGGCTTCTCGGTATCTGTATTGCAAACCATAATGTCCAAAAGGAGAGAGAGAGTATAGGGAATATTGTCTGCCATGGAGGCAGGGGGAGGGTAGGAAAAGGGGGGGGTATACCGGGGATATTAGTGTGGGGAATGTGCACTGGTGGAGGGATGGGTGTTTGATCATTGCGTGATTGTAACCCAAGCATGAAAGCTAGCTCAGGGTGATTCAATAAAATGAAATTCAATAAAATTTAAAAAAAAAAAGTACAACCTGCAGTTTCCAGTCACCCCACAGTCCCGGTCATACTCATACCCGTGTGTCTCGAAGCCCCCCCCCCCCCAGCTCGCCAACCAGAATGATGCTCAGGGGACAAAGGGCAAGAGGGAGGGTGCGAGAGAACAGGGAGCAGGGGAGTGACTGACCACAGAGAAGAACCACTGACCCCACATGTCACAAGTATCAGGACCCAGAAACTCCCCAGGCAGTCAGTCACGTGTGAGGAGTGGCCAGGGTGGGAGGCGAAAGGACAGCACGGGAAGGGATTTCCTGGAAATCCGTTTTTATTTCATTTCCCTGGGAGCAGCAGCTGACCTCGGCCAGGACACCCTCTACATCTGCTTCCCAAGAAAATGTGGGGAGAGAGGGGGCTGGTGGCAAAATACAGAGGGAAGGGCGCTTGCCTTGCATACAGCCAACCCAGGGTCGACCCCCGACATCCCCCAGTAGGGTCCCCCGAGCGCTGCCAGGAGCGATTCCTGAGTGCAGAGCCAGGAGTCAGCCCTGAGCACAGCCTGGTGGGCCCACACCCAGCAACCTTCACCCAGCAACCTTCTCAAGGATATTTGTCATCTGTACCTTCCTCCGGGCTGGAGCAATAGCACAGCAGGTAGGGAGTTTGCCTTGCTCCCGGCCGACCCGGGTTCGATTCCTCCGTCCCTCTTGGAGAGCCCGGCAAGCTACCAAGAGTTTCCCACCCACACGGCAGAGCCTGGCAAGCTCCCCATGGCATATTTGATATGCCAAAAACAGTAACAACGAATCTCACAGTGGAGGCATTACTGGTGCCCACTTGAGCAAATTGATGAACAACGGGAGGATGGTGCTACAGTGCTACCTTCCTCCAATCCAAACTCTGCCTTGCCAAGCCCTCTGTCCCCAGGGTCTGGGGGTTGCTTATAGCTCTGATGACATGCTAGAGACACTGTTACATCACAAGCCTCCTCATGAAACTGTCTAGATGACTCAGGGCAGACTCTCCAATAGATGGCAGAGGGCCCAGGTCTGGGTGCACTTGGAAAGTGCTCTCTGCTGAGCCAGACCTGAGCCAGACGTAAACACCCCCTTTGTGACATTATTGCTTCTGCTCCTCCCTTAATTCCACAAGGAAGGGCTATTACTGACCTCGGACCACCCCATGACTGGGAAAGAAGTTTCCTACCTTGATTGGTTTGTTTGCTTGTTGCTTTTGGGGTCACACCTGGCAATGCCCAGTGGTTACTCCTGGCTCTGCACTCAAGAATCACTCCAAGGGACTAAATGGGATGCTAGGGGATCATCAAACCCCCATTGGTCCTATGCAAGGCAAACGCCCTGCCCTCCCTGCTGTGCTACTGCTCAGGCCGAGGGATGGGTATTTTAAATGCAAATCAGGCTGCAGAGGTGACTCAGCCAGTAAGAGAGCCTTCTTGGTGTGGGGCCCTGTGTTCAATGCCCAGCACCGCCAAATAACATAAAATAAAGAATAAAATGCATACATATATATGTATATATATTTTTTTGCTTTTTGGGGGATGTTCAGGGGTTACTCCTGGCTCTGCACTCAGGAATTACTCTTGGCAGTGCTGGGAAACCATATGGGATGCCGGGGATCGAACCCAGGTCGGCCACATGCAAGGCAAATGCCTACCTACTGGACTATTGCTCCGGCCCCGTGTGTGTGTGTGTGTGTGTATGTGTGTGTGTGTGTGTGTGTGTGTGTATAAGCACACAAGGCTCAACCTTAAACAACAGGTAATCTGGAGCGCTGGTAATCGAACCTGGGCCGGCCGTGTGCAAGGTAAGCCTCTATTATCTCTCGGTTCCCTGTAGTGAAATTTTTAACAGTGTGGGCCCAGTGAGGAAGGAATTCTCCCTTCGACGGTGTCATTAAGATGTTACCCAAACTCACGTGGGCCTTTCACCCGAGTCCACACCACAGACGAGGGCCAGGAACCTCCTGACCATGTTCCAGAGGCCCCATGAGAGCTGACCAGCAACGCGGGCAAGGCAGCCTGGTGCCCGGTACCAAAAAACAGCTCTGAGACTTGCCTGGTAGGCCTGGGAGATAGCTCAGAGCTCAGCAGCACCTGTGCAAGGGCCCGAGCTCCATGCCCGGTGCCCACAGCCCCCAGAGCACTGCCAGGTGAGTCCCCAGTGGTCCCCAGCACCACAGAGCCTGAGCACTCAACGGGTCTGGGCTGGTCAACCAATTGTCACTGAAAATGGTACCTGGACCCTCTGAGCACAGCTTGGGAGGCAATGCCCCCAAAAAGAAAAACGTTCACTCCTGTCACAGGGAATGACAGTACCCTGCAAACTTCTTCCCATTCCTGCTTCTG